CAGATTTGCTTTAACAAAAAACATGCACGCCGTGCCGACCTGACTCTTCAGTTCTTGTGACTGCCGTAGTAGAAGCTTTTGGAAGGAAAGAAGCCATTAGGCAAGAGTACTTAACATTTACACCTGACACACACAGAGAATCAATATTTACATACAGGAGGCAGGTGCAGGAATCCTAGAGGAGCGCAGTCGACCCTCGTATTTCTACAGAATAAAAACAGAAAGAAAACTGTATAATGCTCAGTCCAGTCAGCCACTTAACTCCCTCATAAGAAGCACCGTGTACTTATGTGTAATATAAGTTATTAGAAGATCATTCTGTATGTAGTTACATCAAACAGTATAAAAGCAGGGGGAGATTTTTAAATCCAGATGATGTATTTAAAAATCATCTGGCGTTTATCACTTATAAAACAAACAAAAATGCTCAATTTGAATTAATCCACTGTCTTAAGGTCATCAACGTGTGGAGTAGAGCATTGCTTCAGGTTTGCTCACAGGAAGTGTTCACTTACAACTACAGTTGAGTTCCTTTTGGATTACACCTCATACAGCATAAGGCTTCTACTGAACATTCAAATTCAACTCACATGCACCCTAACCTGAAATAAGGGTCAACTTAATGTCACAGGAGAGGCTACACAAGGAAGCAGGATCATCTAACCTTGCTGTCATCTGGTGACTGACAGCAAGGTTAATGTAATAAATTATGAGAAAAAACAATGTAGGCTAGCACTCACCTTTTCTGGAACACGAGTCGGTGGGTCAGGAGTTGAGCTTGTGATTGAATTTATAGGGTCCAAAACCTCTGGATTGAGTATACATAACTCACTTAGATCAATCTAAAACACAGAAGAAGAAGCAGACTCAGCCTATAGGATATGTTAATGTATACTTGGTTGATATCACCTCAGTTACGACATTACTGACCCCCTTTCCACGGCACATGTTCCTCTCATGCCACTCAACCATAACTGTGGACTTGTCAACGGATTTCACGGTGGCCGAATGGACTCGACCTAGTTCACGTACATAAAAAAAGCATGCCTGAGTTAAACTCACCGCACACGGGAAGTACAAAAACACATAATAGGAACGGATTTAATGCAACATGAGCTCACCATCACTGCGGCTGATCTGGACAGAGAGTCCAACGAGAAGTCGGGACAGGCTGTTCTCCATGATAGCGCCTTCTTAAAAAGCTGAAAATAATGAAGGTAACGTTAGCGTATTAAGTATCCAACTCATTCTCTACCAGTTGTGCTGTCGTCGCTGTGAAAATATGTCGCCTTTTCATGGAAACGTAAAGTTTGATAAAACCAAACCGTCAGTTGTTTCCATTTGTTTGTTTTTAGTTTCTTTCAAGATAAAAATCACACTTACCTTTCACCCGTACCAAACTCAACAGCGCCCAGAATTTAAACTGGCGTTATTTCCGAGTATTTAAGAATCTGATTGGTCTTCGTCATTTCATAGAGTCCGGCGTTCTTCTTCTACGGATTTATAGGTGGTATTTAAATTGATGTTACACTGCCACTCATCGGACAAGTTAGGAAGAACCGCTACAGTTGTGCAAATCTAAGAATTAAAGTTAAAGTTACCAAATACTCGTCACTGATATTTATCCTGAACTCAACTAAATTTTATTTTCTAAACCTTAACTGAAACGGAAAATAAACATGATATAAAATCATTATACAACCAGCAATGGTTTAGCAATATATTTCTGCATGACTTTATCTGTCTCACATATCAGTTGTAGCCCTTTGATTTACAACATTGTTTTGGTTCATTCCCCCCCCCCCCCAGGCATTTCTTACACACTTAATCAGTTAATCAGGCTGAGATCTGGACTTTGACTGGGTCATTGCAACACATTTGTTCTTTTCTTTTTCTGCTATTGTCGTGTAGATTTGGTGCTGTGTTTGGGATCATTGTCCTGCTGTGTGCTGTAATTTTGGCAAACCTTTAGCTTGTCATTGCTTCACATTTGACTCTAGAATACAGAGGAGGTCGTGATCAACTTAGTGACTGCCCTAGTCCTGTGGCTGCAAACCAAGCCTTACTCATCACCCCTCCATCACTGTGCATTGCAATTGTTGTGAGATGTTTGTCCTGATATGCTGTGTTTGGTTTTCAGTGTGCATTATGACCAAAAATCACCACTTTGGTCTTTTCTGTCCAACAGACATTGTTCCACAACTCTTGTGGTTTGTTGAGATGCAACTTTGGGAAAGTCGTGTTGCTGTGTTCTTTTTAGAGAGAATAGACTTTCCCCTTTCAAATCTTCCAGACAAACCTTATTTGTTCAGTATTTTTCTAATCGCAGTTTAACATTTAACATCCTAACGGAGGACTGTAAAGTCTGAAATGTAGCTTTTGGATTTTTTGCAGTTTCTGTGAGCATTGCATGACCTTGACCATGGGATGAATTTCCTGAGATGTCCGCTCTTGGGAAGATTGTAACATTGTGTTAACACACACCTGAATGCTCCAGACCAGCAAAGTACCAAAACCCCTATTTTCATAGTTTGGTCACACTTGCAGATGCTTAATTAACGACACATGCATTTGATTGGCAGCACCTGGCTGTTACTTACCCTCATAATTCCTTTGGAAAGAGTAGGAGTGTAGTTAGTTTTGACAGGACTGTATCTACTTATTTGGTAGAAAGTCCAGACTACTCCCACTCGCTTCAAATGTAACCTGATAGCAGTGCAGCCTAGAGTTTAACTCGCTACAGATCACTATGAGATGTGACATTAAAAATAATGACAGAAAACAGACTGATGCATTTCTCAGAATTCACATTTGCCACATTATGGAGTAATTAGACTTTCAGCAATACAACATTGCACTATGACACAGTGATTTTGTTATCTTAACATGAACAGGCTAACAACTGTTTACATGTAGATCACATAAAACACTGTTCTGTGCAAGATTTTATTTTAAATTTTGAAATACTTTTTAGATCATAGGAATATTACCAATGAAACCTAAACAACAAATTTAGAGACATTACAAGTACAGACTTTAGTCCTGTTTTCCATAGTCCAATGGCAGCCATGCCGATATTGGACTATTGATTTGGCACATCCGTACAAAATATAATAAAAATGCTGCAAACAAATATAATTGCAGCTTTTTTCAGTGGGAGGCTATTTTTAATAGGGTAGGGGCATTATCATGACATCACTGAAACCAAACAGGCCTCTTTTAATATTACATTTATAGATATTCCAGTCCGTGAACACATCCCTGATCATTCCACAGTGATCCCCAAATGTGCTAAAAGCTGATCTATTTAGCCTATTGCATTTCATGCTTGCGACCACAAGAATCCAGTGTTTATCCACACGCTGCCTCTCTTCTCACACTCACTGCAAACCAGGCACAACATTTCAGTCCTCCGTGACATCAACAATCAGGGACAGCTGGAGAATGACCCATAATGCAGTTCAGCCTTGCCTTCAGTGTGGGAGGCTTCCCATTTTTTTCTCTTTTCTTTTTCGCCCCTTAGCCTCCCCACTACGTGCCCACACCCTCTCAATTTCCAAACCTCCTAACTATACACAAGCTAGACTTATGTATACACATTCTCCACGAGCGAACACTGACACATGACAAATCAAAGCTCTAATAAACAGCTTGCGCTGAACAATTTCCCCACCACCACCAAAGGACGAAAAATAAACAAATCCCTGTCGGTTGAGCATCCAGGCCATTTGGTAGGTCTGTCTGTTGATGACTGGGTGGCCCAGGGCTGCTTGGTGTGAGGCCTGGGATGGAGCCACAACTGTTTCCTGTGGGCAGCCCAACCCCCAGAACCTCTCCACAACCTGCTTAGTGGGTGGTATTCCCCTCCTCCCTTTTTTTCCCTCTCATCCCCTAAACCTCTAGACCCTCCTCTCCCTCCTCTCCTCTCCAAGCAGTTCTCCTTCCCCCTTTTCCTCCCCTTACTCTGTCAGTCCATCCATTCTCACAGCCATAGACCTCAGCTCAACACTTCCCCAGTGGCCTCAAGTGGACCGAGTAAGATAAGAAAAAATGTAAAGAAACCTTGTCTCTGTGTGCACTTAGTCCAAGTATGCCCTCATCATTTACATAAAGCTAAAAACTGTCACAAAGGTGTGATTTTTGCCCGATTACAAAAACATTTGGGGGGGGGTTAGTAAAGTATCACACATCCTCATCCACATTTTCTTCTTTTTAACATATATATTTAAAGCTATAACACATTGTTTCTCTTTTTCAAGCTTTAAACTACAAAAGAAACCATGAACCAGCTGACAGTGCACATCATTAAAATGTTCTTTGAATTGACTCACTCGGTGATGATGTTTTATCACTTCACATGTGTCTGTCCCAAAACTGAGCATGAGCTCTTGTAAATGCACATCCTGTTATACACAGGCTAGGTCACGGGAATGTGAAATAATGTAACAAAACAGTAGCATCTGTGGCTTTATGCTTTTGTTATTTTCATATACCTTTGTGCGTGTTTATTCAGATTTTTCTCATGACTTTGTGACTGTTGCAGAGAATGTCTCGCACATGTTGCAGAGACTTCAGGGTGGGCTTTCCCTTCAAGCAGCCAGCTCTGTTCCACATTTGTTTGTTCATACTGATAAGGGTTCAATACTTGGCTGAAAAACACTAGAAAAAAACAAACTGAAAATTGGGTTTTGAGTTCAAGTCTCCTCTTTTAAACACCAAAGTTGGCCTCAACGCTGTCACGCCACGCAAAGATCACAGTTGCCGAAAAGACACAGCGGCATTTTTAGGTGCTGGCTTCACAGCGTCGATTGTTGGTGGTGTTTGATCCGAAGAAGAACGCAGTCTTGTATCTGTTGGCCCTGTCACTGTTTAACCGCTCCCCTTTTTTCCACCCGTCCAAAAGCATATTTTCTCAGTGTAAAGAAAATTGGCGGAGGCCGTAGCTCTGTTCCTCTATACAGACTAAATAAACATGCACATGCATACTGTACGTGAGCTGAGCACACTTATAAACCACCCAGGAAGGCTGACAGATGAGGAGAGGAGCAGTGAGAGAAACAGAGAAGGAAAAACTGAACTACTTTTTCATATTCTTTCTTTTTTGTATGGTATCAATAGCAATAATAATTCTGTAACCCTTGCCAAACCTAACACTAATATGAAATTAGGTCTTTAGAATAAGTTTAGCATTTGGGTGTAAGCTGTCGGTGAGCATTAGTCAGTTTTTCCCTAAATATGAAGCGGACTTTAATTCTGTGTCAGCCCTATAGTGATGCTGAAATACTGACCAATGAGGCAGTTCGTAGTGGGCATGTGATTTGCTATAATCATGTCTGTAATGTGTGGTTTTATCAAATGGTTTTCATCTTTTTTATCTTTCTAAGATAAAAACCCTAAATATATAGGGTCTGTATTGCATTTTACAACATGACCAGCAGAGAGCAATATAACTACAAACAGAACTGACAGCATGCAGTCAGGTACAGCTAACTGTGGGATTTGAAATAAAAGTGCTGACAGGACTCAAGATCCAGTATTAGAATGCAGGTTTTCTTCTTTTCCATAGCATAGCTTTGGGTTGGTACGTGCTGTTCCATAACTGAACCCACTGCGCATCCAGCAGGGAATTAAATCTTCTCAAGCCAGAGAGCTAAACGTGCAACTGGAACATTCACTCATTAAAGCATGTTCGTATTCTTGGCATGTGGAGATCCAGTAAATAATGCCAGTGACCCTTTTTTTCTTTCTTTCCATGCCATTATTTTAAAAAAGTAAGTACTAAATTTTCTCTTCAGCCACATCATTTCAAGCTTTGGAGTCATTCACTGAGGACTTCACTCACCTTTGAACTTGTGAGTGCAGCCAGACAAAGTTCTATTTTTTCCCCACTGCTCGCAAATGCATATCTGTTTCTTCAGCAATAATTTTATTTATTTATTTTGGCTCAGAAGTAAACAATGGTTCATGCAGTACCTGCAATTACAGTAACACTATGGGCATGTGTTTTCGGCCTGTACATTAATGTAATTATCATTTTTAGACCTAAAGTTAAAAATGCAATTAATAGAATCATTATTATGGGCACAGAAAACTGGCTTTGTGTTAATGATTAGCCAGCAGTGTATGTTATATACACTGCTGGCTAATATTACAGATCCACTAGAATCTAGTCAGCACACTCAGTAAGATAAATATTTTAATAAATTAAAGCCAAGATTGATGACAGTGTTGGCACAGAACTAAGTGCACTTATTCAAGTTACAGGTATGCTACTTTATGCTTCTACTACATTCTCATGTGATAGTTTTATTATACTAGATTCTTTATAAGTCAAACAAACAAACAGAAAACTATTGTTTACAGTCCAGTAGATTTTTATGCTAAAATTCAAATGGTTTCATTTAACAGCCGTTTTGAGGCCAAAGAACTAAACTTAACACGTGCATCCACTGGTATTCATGTAGTGATACTTTATCTG